CTTGAATCATTTTTTATTTTTTAATTTTTTTATAAATTTAATAATTGTTTATACTTCAACAGGTATGTGTGACCAGGTAAACTGGTTTTAGGAAAATGACAGTTGATTTCAACAACTTGAAATCAACCTTATAATTAAATGGTCCTTATAGTTAAATAAATAATTTAAATATTTTGTTTAAACTATTTATTTCACTTTAAGTATGAAAATCAGAACAATTTTATTTAAAGAAAAAGTTCTCAAATTTAATTTTATCGTATCAATTGAAAATATTTTATGAAAACTTTATTCATGTTATTTTTGTTGTTCTGCTTTTTATAAAATAATTAAGAGCGTTCACGTTCAAATATCAATTAGTTATAAATTGTATTAATGCGGTTATTATTGCTTTCACTTTATAATATTTGATTTTTTTGGATTATATTGTATAAACCCCCTCTCCAACATCACCGTCACAGCCTCTTTATTATTTGTTACATTATTTTTTATTAAAAAAAAGTTGTTTTAATAAAAGATCTACTACCATAAATAACTATTTAAAACATATTTTAAAACATATTTTGGTTTTAATTACATAGCCTAAAGCAGTTTTAAAAGGAAAGGGGAGAGAATATAGCAACTTTTCTGTGAGCAACTGAATTATTTAAAAAAAAAAAAACAGTATTAGTTCTAATGATTTCTTGTTACGAATAGAGTTTTAAAAAAGTTTGCAAAAAGCAAGCTTTTACATTTTGTTTATAAAATAAAAAAGCAGAAGAAGGAAAGACAAAATGTATACAGTATTTAAGACGCTTTAAATACATTCTAATAAATATAAAGATGGTTTGTATTTCCTATTTATGATGATTTATGAACAGTGGATTTTAAAACAGCTGGACACTGATGTTGTCTAAGTATTAAGTTTTTTTATAAGTGTGTTTTTTTTAAACTAATCTTTATTATTTTTTATTATTATTGTTTGTTTTTTTAAAATAATTCAGTTGCTTACAGAAAAGTTGTCATATTCTCTCCTCTTTCCTTTTAAAACTGCTTTAGGCTATGTAATTAAAACCGAGCAATTTTTTTTAACCTTATTATTTACACGTTGTAGCTGTTGTATATATCTTTTTTGGTACATAATCGTACAAAACTGTTTTTTAAAATAAAAACTCTGACAAGATATTTATATGACTTTTATTATAATGGGATTCCAATATCAATCGGTCAAATTGGATATTTTTTTGCAAAAATTTTTTAACTGAGTAAAACTAAATTAAGCCCTTAAACTTTGATACTCTATAAACTTTATTTTATAAAAATACCTTTTTATAGTGCCGCGGATAAACTCTCCTACTCCCATAATTGTGTGGGGGCCTAGCAAATTTAGGGTGTCGTTGTGCAAATTTAAAGAGCTTTTCTTTCTTTTATTATTTTGTAATACCTAATATTTATTTTGTAAAAAAAAAGTTAGCAACTACATATTTTGGTGTTTAATGAGATTCTACCTCAAAAAAAAAAACGAAAAAGAAAAACTGTTGCTGTTTTAAACAATTTAAAAGTAAAAATTTCCAAAGAACATTAAAACATTTATAATAAAAGTCAAGTTAACTGGTGTAGATATAAAATTGTATAAAAAGTATAAAATTGTATTACAATGTCTTCGGCCTAGGATAATAAAAGCGGAATATTTTTGACTCAATCAATAAGTTCTTACTATGTGAGAGGCTGTATATTTATTTCTATTATTATCTAATGAGAGTACAGTTGAGGGCCGATGACATGGTTTCAAAGTGGAGGGGATTAATTGTCAATTTCTAAAAAAAAGCTATCTATATCTATATAGAAATTTCTAAAAAAAAAAATGTCCTTCAGAAAAAAAGTGGGGCCACCGAGTGGCCAGTTTATCCTGGCCCCCCGGTGATATCGGCCCTGTATTTCAGAGAGATTGATTTTATTAGCAGCTATAAAATCTTAGGAGTGCCATATTTCTTATGGTTGGCGTCCTTCATGATATTTATGATGTTATTTGCTAAACTCTTTTGTTGACTTTAAATTTAATTATAGCGTAAGTAGTTTTCTTACTAATGACAAGCATTGTTATTTATAATTTCTTTATTGTTTGACCTTTTGATTTAATAATTTTCTTAGTGATGGTCTTGAGTTGACGTCTACCGTTTCTTTAGTGTTCAAACAAAAAAGAAAATTTTTAAAATCTTACTTATAGATTCAAATTTAAAGCTCAATCCTTGCCTAAGTCTTCTCTGTGGACTTGGTTAGAAGTTTTGACAAACTTTAATATACAAGTCTTCTCTAAAAGCAAGTGGTATAAGTATTACAGCTGCATGTGGGGTATATATCACCTAAGTGGCCATGCCACACATTTACGCCATTCCAGAAATTGAGTGCGGCTTTTTTTTAATGACACAGGAGGCCCACGTCAAATTTTCTCATGTTCAAATTTTCCGGTTATTCAAGTTTTTACTTCAGTTTTTATTTTTTCATTTTTTTTTTAGTTATTAAGGTACTTTAAGAAGAGGAAGTAACCAATTGGGTCTTATAACAGAGCACCGTGGACAAGCATGTAGCCAGGAAGTTTACGGCTCCTTCCTTACCAATTTGGATAAGAAAGGAAGCGTGAATTTTACCATATTAGGCTAGAAGCAGTGTTGAACCACTGACCTCTGGGTTCTGAGCCAGAACTCTAACTACTGAGTCACGGCTGTTTTAAATTTTTTTAAATTCTCATATATAAGGTAGCTATGTATAAAAGAAAATTAAATAAGTTTTAGACTGTTTTATGACAACAAAAAGACCAGGACACATTTTCTTCCTAACCAATGTCCCTTATCTATCCAGAACCTACACCATTAACCATTTGGTTCCAAGCAAGAGCTCTAACTGCTGCGCCACGTCTCCTATCAAATGGCCACAGTTGTAGCATTAAAGTTAATCTTGACCACTTAATCACCAAAGCACTGTTGCTAAAAAACGAGTTGTAAACATGTTTAGATTTGATTTAGCAGGCAAACGGGAACCCCTGTCTCATCATCATTAACTTTTTATTTTCTACATTGACTACCGTTGTCTTTTGTTGCATTTAACAAGATATATTCTTAAGCGACACACATCACTACATTACTTTATTGTCCATATATTAAGACACTATTTCTAGTTCTACTAAAATGTTTAATAAAAAAAATTATTCATCTAGTTTAAACCTAGTACATTAGAGTTTCAAAATTCTCTTAACTTATTGTATTTTTATGATCCAAATAAGCTTTACCTTTTTATATCTTCTCTTATCTTTTATATTTTTATATCTTCTCTTATCCGTTTTCTCTCTAGTTACTATTTTGCTCATTTTGTAATTTATTCTTAACTTAAATATCTGTAGCCTTGTTAGAAGTGATTTTGGATTTAAAAAGATAACAGGAAACTTAATAAACTCAATAAACTTTTTTTCTCTTTGACTCTACAACATCGCTTTAGATATTTGCTTTTTATTTTGCGAAATATTTTTGAATTGGTGAATGAAATCAGTCGTTTATATTGTAGCGCTACACAATTTGCTGACTATGTTTAACGCAATTTCACAGAAAATCAAATTCAATAACATTTTGACAGCGCTTAGCAATGACCAGTATGGATTAAATTCTATAAAAAATCACGAAAAAATATTAGTCAATCATAAGCGGGCTTATAGATCAGTGTGCTGTTAATCAGTTGTTTTTTTTTTATTGAAATTTCAGTTTAATAATAAGGCATTTTTAGTTTAAAAAAATGCTTTCTGTTGACATATAATCTGTTTGTGTAATAAACCGTTATTATAAGCATTTAATTGGGAACCGTTCGATGTCAAATAGAGAAAATAAATTCTTTTTATTAAAAATGTCAATTGTTCTAAATTGGAAAATGGGCTATTGAAAGAATGTCGATAAGAGCCATGTTCTTGAAACATCCTAACCCCCAAATATAAGATAAAAATTAAAAAGCGATGTATCTGGCGAGATAGGCGTGTATAATAAAAAAACTGTAAAAGCATCGTTACATCGTTTTGATGTAACGACGTTTTTACAGCTTTTATGTTATACTTAAATATACATTGTTTTGTAAAGACCAGGGTTGGATGCACCCTTTGCAATTTGAGGGGGTAACAATAAAATATAAGTAAAAGTTATTATACTTCTAATACGCTTATACTTTTTTATAATTCAGTCAATAATGATCATATATTTATTCCATTTTTTACTATTTTTATATCGATGTATGAAAACTTTGTCTACGTCGTTAATACTTTATTTATCCGCATTTTAATCTCTTTGATTATGAAAAACATTTTTTGCATTGCCGTATGACTTAAATTCACACAAGTAAATAACTTGAAAAAATATCTACGTTAACAGCGCGTTAACTAAATTTGATTTGAAATTAAGTTAATATTTATTTTCCAGTATTTATGTAAATAATTTAAGATGGTTAATGGTTCCTGTAAATTCCAGATCAGCACGCTTTTTTTTTTATTGGAAGCAACATTTTAATGAATGAAGCCGGATTTCGAGCCGATATAAAACCTTTAGGCAATATAATGCTATTGTAATTACTCGTTTTGATAAAAAAAAATTGTTATGAAAATACAATATACTTTTATTAATGGTTACGAAGCAAGAATGCAAGGTTAACTTTATAAAAAACGACTTAGTTATTTTGTTTTACCAACAACTTCTATCGTTTTATTAGGATTGTGTTTATGAAGTGTTTGTTAACTTGAGTGAATTTCACAATTGTGTAACTTTGTTTCTTAGTTGTAGAAAACGGAAGAATAAAAATTAGTTAATAATATCGTATAATCAATGACGAAACGATTTGTAATAATGACTATCAAGAGAGCTTTATTTTCCTCGTTTATTTAAAAATGCAATAAGTAGTTATAATTGAAAAGATAAAGCTCACAAAAGAATTTACGTATATAACCATAAAAAAATATTCTCTAAATTTAAGTCTGAAAATTACGACGGAGAGCAAGCTGTAAATTGAATTTTTTTTAAATTGCTTATAAACGTCATCTTAAATACGTCTTGATTATTAAGCATTTATGAAATTACATTGTTTAGTGTCTTTGGCGGTTTAGAACAACATCCTGGGTATATTCAAAACAGATTTCACTTTATTATTGTATAAGTAAGTAAATCATGGTACCTATGCCTTTTTTGTATACAGTTGTTGAAAAATTAACGATGTTATATTATTTTTAATAAGTTTGTTTTTCTTTCTTACTGGAATAATAAAATTCTCTATAGATTTGTTTAATAAATTTAAAAAACAACGGAGCCTGTTTAATTTTTAAAATATTTTTTTAAAGTGTGTTGCAGAGATTAGCAAACAACTTAAGCAAATTTTGTGTTATTTAAAACGAACTGGTCACAACTTAATCCGCACTCCACTTTTAATTAAATCTCGATAATTAAAATGTATATGTTATAAATATTTTTACTTTCCTGATTTTTTTACTTACGTTTCTATTAGGTTTTTATTATCTTTTGACTTAAAGTATATTACTGATAATATTATATTTATTTTTATTGTTCTTTATTTTGTTTTTAAAATAATATTTATCATTTTTATTAATATTATACTATTTTTATATCGATATAATTTATTATAAATTTATGTTAAATATATCTTTCTTTTATTTCGGAATTCTCTATGTAAGGATTTTGTATAAAGGATTTTGAATCAAAAATCCACTAAACAAAAACAATTTATATAAAGAATTCTTTAGGAAAAAAAAATGTAAATAAATTATTTTTAATTTTAAGTTAGACTTTAAATTAAACGTCAACTTGGCGTTGACGTTTAGAACAATCATTTACTTTTTTTGTTTACTTAGATGTTGATGTTGTTAGCACCACTGTTCTGTAGCTTGTTTAATTTGTTTTGACCTTTTTTTTTTTTTATTTTTAAGGAGTAAATATATTAGAAAAAATGGAGGTTCTTCGTAAGTTTTTTTCTCTTATGCAACGAATTGAAGAACTTTCTCCTGATATTCCAGTTGTGTTCTTAGGTCATACATATGCTTTACAGCCCACTTTTGACGAATTTCAGAGAGCAGCAAGTATTTTAATGGAAAGAAATAAAGCTGATTTAGAAACAGGAGCACTTCCTCAACTCAATATATGCTTCTGTAACAAGTTAGTGGTTATTAAAGATGCAATGCAAAGACCTTGCATGGAATATGAAGTACGAAAAATTGTAGTTTCTTGCGTTAATGCAAAAAATAAACGCTTGCTTGGAATTTTTTATCATAAAGACACTACGTGTTTTGGTGTAAATGTAGCTGGAAAGGGACTCGAGTGTCATCTATTTTTATGTCGCAGTAAAGAAAAAGCAAAATTAGCTGCTTATAACATCGGTAAACTTTTAGCCAAAGAATACGACTTAGCTGAACCATGCTTAACCGAAAATCTAGAGGAGAAAAACATAAGTATCAGTAATGTTGTAAAAAATGAATTGGATTACGAAAATGTTGCTAAGTTTTTTCGCAAAAATTTTAATCCAAATAGCTGCGATGTTTCAATTTTAACGACGCCATGCGACTCTTTATCAACATTTATGACTACGACTGGTTACGATTCAGGTCGGGCCTCGACTATAGCCAGCAGAGAATACAATAATATAAGCGCAAGTGATAGCTTCCGGGAGCATCATAAAAAACAAAAAAATTACTTAAGCATTAGTAGCAGCAGATCGTGGAGTTTTAAAAATAGTAAAAGCAACAACAGTAGTAGGTCAGCCAGTTTTAAAAACGCAGCCAGTACAAGTAGCAGTCGGTCATGCAGTTTTAAAAATGCAGCTAGTGCGAGCAGCAGTAGGTCGTGCAGTTTTAAGAATGCAGCTAGTGCAAATAGCAGTAGATCGTCCAGTTTCAAAAATTTAGTTCAAAACAGCAACAGTTTTCGAGAGCAGAAAGCAACTAACGATACATTAAAAAGAAAAGAAGAGCTCAAAAATACAACAAGAGAAAAAATCAAGTACCAACATTCGATTGATGATGACAATGTGTCTGGTAGCGATGGAGATTCTAGAACAACCTCTTCTTTATACATAAGTCCGTATGATAACACTGCTAGTAGCAAAATAAGAGTTATCTACTCAAGTCATGATTCTGACGGCGATAGCGTGTCTCTCAGCGATGACGATTCTAAAATTTCAAAAGGTCTTCTAAATCCACAATACTGCTATAGATCAACATTTCCTACGTGTATTTTAGAAGAATCTACCGAGGAAATTAACATTAATAGATTTTCTTCTTCTCGTGAAAGTGACATAATTGAAGATGAACCAAATGTTGATGTTATTTTAAATGGGGCTGATTCAGTTTCTTTACATAAAGAAAATCCAACTCTAGAAGATACTCGTCTATCTCGGAACTTAAATACAATAGAAGATTTTAGTAATGCTTCTCTATCAATTAAGCGGCACGGAGAGTATCCAAATAAAAAGTCTTTAGAAATAACGCACCCTCTCTTTAAAGAAAGTAGTCTAATAAATAATGATGCAAACAATAATGATAAACTAACAAATGAAAAAAGTTTGGTAACCAATTTATTAGGCGTCAATGACTTAAATGCATACACGCATCTTGTTAAAATGCAAGAAACAGATATATAGAGTTGCAGAATTATACTTTTCAAAATTGATTTTTTCGTTTGATTGATTATCTCGTTATAAACAATGGTTAAAACCAACTCAATTATGGCGTTGCAAATAGTTGTTAAAATGTTAACAAATTATATCTAGTTAAATTGTTAAAAATAAAAAATAGTTTTTAAATGATCTGTTGTTTGAACTTCGTACCAGAAGATCAGATGACTCCTTTTTATATATTTATATACATTTTGAATCTAGATTTCTGAAATCAAATTCAGAAATGTGTATCCTGAATTCAATTGGCTTTGCTAAAATCGAAATCCATCAGTCAACGTTTGTTGTGTGTTTTGCTATATATGCTATCAATATCCAGGTTATGAAGTCCTTTTGCAACCACCATAAACTTTTAGTTAGTGTAGATATTTTTTGCTTCAAATAACTTTGACCTGTAAGTTGATGTTAATTCATTTAATAATTTATTAGGTATTATTTAAAAAAAAAAAGTTTACAATTAAATAATTTGCATATGGTTTCTTAGGCGCGGCTGCGCAACTTTTACATTTTTCATAGGAAGCAATAAAAAGTTTTACTTATAAAATTGTGTTCCGCCACTTAGTCGTACCTTTTTTAAGTTCAGTTGTACTCATATTTAATAGCCTATTTTACATAAAAATCAGTTTTAATTATTTTATAATATTTATTCATCACAGAATCATTTCTACAGTCGCTGAATCATTTTGAAGACGCTGAGTCGTATTTAAACTCAAATTTGTTATTTAAGTAATTGCGATTTAAGGTAGTATGGTCCAGTTATGATTCATAAATAGGTAAAAATAAAATAAAAATTCACTTAGCTAAATTCTTGAGTCTTTTCTTCACTCTTTTTTTAAAGATTATTTTAGATTTATTTTTTTATATCAAACAAAAATCTGAAATGTAAAGCTTTGTTTTTTATTTTTGTAGTAAAGCAGTAACTATATTAATACAGTTAATCAGACTTACACACTAAAACAGCCTCAAAAGTAGGTTGCTTCATTTATAGTTCTTTTGTAGGTATTTTTCAAGTTTGTTTTTAAACTGATTTAAGTTTGGAGAATTTATTACTTCCATCGGTAATTTATTCCTAGCGGTTGCTACTCGATTATAGATATAATTTTGTCTAGAAGCACTTTTAGTAAATTCGGCTCGGTATCTAAAGTTGTGTCCGAGTATCTGAATCTGATTTTTATGTATATTTATTTTTTCTAAGAAACTGTATTCATGTCAAGTTAGATTTACATTACCTATTTTATTGACGATTTTAAAAATTTGTATTAAGCTCCTCTCAAAGTCCGAATTAAAAGTTTTGTTAAATTATTAGACACTTATAAGTCTTTCTTCATATCATGACATATATTTTAAGGGAAGGAATTAGTTTAAGTGTTCGTCTTTGTTTTTGTTTCAATATAGATGTATCTCCTTTAAGGTAACAATACCATGCAGCGATACCGTGTTCAAGATGTGGACAAGTATTTTATAAAGAACTTTAAACATCTGATGATCTATATAACTAAAGGTGTGCTTATCTGTGCTCGATTTGCATTAGACGCAGAGCTAATTGCGTGTTATTTCCAATTAAGATTGGCCGAAAAATTTATACCTTTTTCACATGTAGATTTTCCTAGGCTTATTAATATGACATTACTAGAATTGGGTATGAAGTAATCGCGCATTGGATTGTTTTTCTCAACATGCATAACATGATATTTTTTACAGTTAAACTTGATAAGCCATTTTTTTGATCATTCAAGGTTATCTTGACTTAGTATCATCAGCAAATAGTTTAGATGTATTAGTTAGGTTTTTTAGTAAGTCATATGACTTACCAAAAAACCTAACTAACTACTACTTCTTTTCAATGACTTTATTTACTACTTTTTTTCAAGTACTTTATTTGCTTCTTTTCAATGACTCGATACTGACATCAATGACATCAAACCATATTTATTTTCATTGAATTGTATAGTTTATTATATATTTAATTGTATCTTTAATAAAGAGGTTTATGGTCCTTACTAATATTATTAATTCGTTTTAGCTGTATTTTAAAAAGAAATTAGAAACAAAAAAAGTAAAAAAAAAGTTAAGAAAACACTCTTTTAGAGCAATTTCCAAAAAATATTTTCTTTAAAAAAATCATGTAGTTCTAGGGAATTTTGAATTAAAAGAGAAAATGTGTTCAGATATGTTTATTTTGAAAAAATAAATTCCCAATACGTTTTTAACAATCAAATGTTGCATTTTGTAAGATCGGTCAAGTACTCAGTGGGCAAGGTGTTAAAAAAGACGTCTTTTAAACGTCTTTTAAACGTTTTCGGAAGTTTTTTGTACGTTCAAAAGACGTCTTATTTAGGTCCCGTGCCCACTGGGTACATAAACCAATGCGTCATTTAGCTAATTAAACTTGAATAAAATAATGTTTTTTAAATTTATCAAAAACGTAAATTTAATTATTGTAAAGGTGTAGTAACTATCATTAGACTAATGTGTCGATGGGGATTTATTAAGGAGGTATTGCAACCGGGGTCAGGTTTAGTGCAATAGTAGTCTAAACCCTGCCTAAAAAAGTTGAAAAAAAAGTTATTGTCTAATAAAGCTGTCAGGAGCAAAGGAAAAAGTAGCCGTGACGAAGTGGTTCAAGCGATTGCTTCCCAGTGGGCATGCCTCGTCCAGGAACGTTTGTAAGAAGTCTTACGGACATCTGGACGTCTGTGATACGTCCAACCATCGTCCCTCGGACGACGCGTGCCCATTGGGTTGAAAATCAAAAGAGCACAGGTTCAAAGTCTGGTTTATTAAGCAACATTATTACAAATAATAGTGCAAACTTCCACTTTAAATATTTTTTCGCCTTGTTCTGTCACACCACCTTTAGGTTTTCATGAAGTACTTTAATAAATTAAATGAAGAAACGTAAATAGTTTGTTAAATTTGACAATAAGTTTTTTTCTTTACATTTTTAAACTACATTAAGTCATTACTTTTATCTTTTAAGAAGGAACAAGATCTGGAAGCTAACATTATATACTATTTATTGTTTTTAACATTTAAAACCTAAAATGATGTTGCTATTTTTTATCATGAAAAAAGTTCTTAAGTTCAGAATCTTAAACTAATTTATAAGTTTAAACTAAATTTCAACTTTCATATGAATTGATTTTTAAACTAAACTTAATAACTATTTTATTATTATATTATTATACCAGTATTTAGACGTTTTACCGTTATTATATCAGTATTTAGCCGTTTTATCGTTATTATACCAATCTTTATGTTTTATATTATTACCATAGCATAGATTGAATTGTTTGACATTACAGATATTATACTTTAGAGCATTATGAAAACTTCAAATTTAAATATGTCTATGTCAAATGGAGAATATTTTTTAAAAAACTGCAGCGTTTGAAGCCTTGAAACAAAATAAAAATGTATTTAAATAAATAAATAACTCATTACTCTTATGTTAGACCTTTTTTTTTTAAATATTCTAATTTGACTTAAGCAGAAACATAGTTAAATTAAGAGCTTGAGCATGTCTGAAAGTGATATCCTGCATACTCCAGAGAGCATGTCTGAAAGTGAAATCCTGCATACTCCAGAGAGATCCAGAGAGGGGGGGGGGTTGAGATATGCATCCCCCTTCCTCTACAGAATCTGAAAGTCATAAAATATTTTAGAAATGGAGTATTTTATTTTTTCAAGAGACGCAAATGCGATACAAAATAACATAATATTTCAACATTCCACCATCACCCCTCCCCCTCCCCCCCCGTCACCGACTCCTCTGGTTATAAAGGAAAAGATTACTACATATGTCCAACAACATCTGTGAAGTAGGGAAATAACATCCGCACATTTTTGTCCAAGATCATCTGCTTTTTTTCTTTACTGAATTAACACCTGTCCAACAACATCTAAAATTTCATTGATGTCTAATAACATCTTTAGAAAGATGTAACTACATTCAGAATTTTTCTCGATGAGTAACTACATCCGCCTAAAATAATGCATTATTGTATAAAATAAATTTCCGGATGTTGTTACATCCGAAAAAAATCAGATGTGTAACAACCTCTGGTGAAAATGATGCATTATATAAAAAAAATCCCGGATGTAGTTACATATATAAGTTACATATATAATTATTATATTATAGAAGGGCTGCTACATCGACTGACAAATAGCCTGACTCGCAACGGAGTGCTGCTACATCGACTGAGGGTTTGGTTTGGGCAGGCAGTCTATCAAATAACTAAAAGAAAAAAAATATTTTATTATGCTAAAAACAATGCATTATAATAACTTTTTTTGGCGGATGTAGTTACATCCGAAAAAAGTCAGATGTGTAACATCTGGTTAAAATAATGCATTATTAAAAAACATTTTTTTTCGGATGTAATTACACCCGAAGAATGTACAGATGTAGTTGCACGGATGTTATTATACATCAATGAAATTTCGGATGCTGTTGGGCAGATGTTATTATACATCAATAAAGTTTGGGATGTTGTTGCACGGATGTTATTATACATCGATGAAATTTCGGATGTTGTTGGACAGATGTTATTGGACACAGCAAAAACGGATGTTGTTACCCTGACCCGTTATAAAAGAACTTGAGCCGTTATAAAAGAGCTGTATTAAAGAGCTCTTTAGTACAGCTTTCAACCAATGTTTATTGCTAGCAATAAAAAAACATTGCAAAGTTCTTATAACACTAGTTTTTTATAATGACAAAACAACCTCGCTGTATTGTTTTATTGTGGTTTATATAGCTTTTTACTATAATTATTTAATACACTTTAAAATCAAACGCGATTAATTGTCAGTATGAACGGGGTATTAGTTTTTTAAAAAACATGTTTTGCATCAAAAAAAGTCTTAAGCCTAAAAAAAAAGTTTTAAACCTAAAAAAAAGTTTTAAACCTAAAAAAAAAAAAAAAAATTTCTGCTGAAACCGGTTTCTTATTACCGGATTAAACATACAATCGTCAACAAAAAGGCGGGCGTATTTAAATATAATACAATTTATTTTCTACCAATTATTTAAAATTAGAATATCTTTTCAGTAAATCTTTTAAAACTTTACAACATTAATTAAAAATTATAATTTAAGTTAAAAAAAAAAGAAACATAATAAAAAAAATGCCAAGATGTCCATGAAAGTTAAAAATGCATCTAGTAAAACTAAAAAAAAAGTATTAACTACAACTAAAGGTCCTGCTGAGGTATTTATTATTAACCAATCTTTAGATTTTATAAAAAAAAATTACAAAATTTATTTTTAATACAAGTTTATTTTAATATGAATTTAGTTATAAAGGTAAACAAAATTAATTTTAATTGATGAAATATATTTTCTCAAAACTATGGAATGTTTACCATAGGGTTTTGTATTATATGTTGGCACACTCAGTGCACCACTACAAGAATTTCTTGTAAGTTGACAGCTGATTGAACTGCGTAGAGTAAACCATTTATTAAATATAGGAGGCAGCTTTTTGTTTAGGCAGCTGTGAATAAATAAACAATTTTCAATTTTATATCATGTACTTTTAAAATTTGTAGTGCGTTAAAAAATGTGTATGTATGTGAATTTTTTGGTAGAAATTCAATAATCCTGATTGCTTTTTTTTGCATAATGAATAGGCGATTTACAATACTTAAGTTTTGATTCCATGATAGTAGGCAATATGTTAGGTGAGAGTGAAACAAAGCATTGTAAATAGATTTTAAAGTTTTTTGTTGTATAAAATGTCTTAGCTTTGACAGAATGGCAAAGGATCTATTCAACTTATTAGATAAATCATTATAATGTAAAGTCCAGGTTAAGTTTTTGTCTAGCCTTATACCCAAGTAGTTTACAAATTTTTTGCACCAAAGTTTTTTCCCATTTAACTTAATTTTGTGCTGTTGATCTATTTTTTGTGACAACTTTTAGATAATATTAGATCAGTTTTTTTAGAGTTAAGGGAAATTTTGTTGGCATTTAGCCAGTTGCATAGTTTTTTAAGATCATAGTTAACATATTTGTTGATTTTTTTTTATAGTCGCTTATTAAAATAGCGAAGGTTTGTGTCATCCGCAAAGTGTTGGACTCAACAAAATTTTAAAGCTTTAGACATGTCATTTATATAAATAAGAAATAGCAAAGGGCCAAGGACAGATCCCTGAGGAACACCTACTTTGATATCGTTCAGGTCTTAGCTCACTCCACTAATGGATACTAATTGAGTTGTATTAGTAAGGAAAGATTTAAACCAAGAGTTTGAAACTCCTCTAATACCATAGTAGGATAGCTTATAAAGTAGAATGTCAACATCTACAGTGTCAAATGCCTTTTGAAGGTTGATAAAAATGCCACATCCAAACATTCCTTCATCCAGAGAATCTTTAATTTTTTCTGTTAGACTTAGTAAAGCAAGTGATGTAGAGTAGTTCGTTTGAAAACCAAATTGTAATTCAATAAACAGTTTATTTTCATTGAAGAATTTGTCTAAGCGGTTAAACATTAGTCTTTCAAGAATTTTATCAATGTTAGAGAGGAGAGAAATTAACCTGTAGTTTGCCATTAATAGTTTTGAATCAGTTTTAAAAATAGGTATAACTTTGGCTGTTTTCAGGTTTTCTGGGAAAATACCACTTGAGAATGAGATATTAAAAATATTAGAAAGAATTCTTGAAAGTTCCATTTTTAATAGTTTTAGAATTTTAACTGGCATACCGTTTAGTCCAGAAGCTGTATTTGTGTCTAAGGAGTTGATGATTTTTGAAATTTCATGTTCGTCAGTAGGTTTTATAAAGAAAGATTTTTGAGAAGGATTTGATAGGTAATATGTGAAATGATTTATGGATGAAGGAATTGTTGCCTGGACATCCTTACCAATGTTAGTAAAGTAGTTATTTAAAGCATTACAAATATCAAAAGGGTTTGTTATCGTTTAATTGTTATGTATGATTACATTAGGAGTTGTTTGAGAGTTACTTTTAATCTTAATAATGTTTTTGATACCTTTCCAGGTTGTAATAATGTTTTTGATACCTTTCCAGGTTAACCATTAAGGTTACTATGATTCTTAAATCCAAAAAGAAGACACACTTATTCATTAAACACTTGAAAAATCATAGCCTACCTCTCTTTGAATTTAGGAGTGGTATGCTGTGTTCACATTTACCAAAAAAGCAAATAATATCCTTAGTTTAAACATTAACAGTTGTTTTTGAAAACCTCTTTTGAAAAAAACAAATTATTTTATGTAAACCACTAATATAATTAAAAAATAGTGGAGTTATTAAAAAAACAAACAGTGTTGATATCTAATTTATATTTTTTAAATAAACTTAATTATAAAGCTAGTTTTGACCTTGTTCAATAATGTAACATTGTTGTTAATTAATATATATTAATATAAAATTAAAAGATAATTATAGTTGCTTTGAACAGTTAGTATAACATCCATTTAGATTATTGTTTTGTTGCTTTCTTTTGACAAATATGGTTGCATTAAAGGAAAAATTTATTTTACATTGACATTATGAGATATAATACTAAGTAAAATAAGCAGTTTCAAATAATTCACTTAAAAATTGTGCTATTTTGCAGCTTTTAAAAATATTTAAATATAGTATATCTTTCATGAACCAGCAATTTGTTAAGAAATCGATTTTCATTCAAATCTAGCTGATTTTATATACTCAAGTTCTAAAACTGAAAAAGCAACAATCTGATTCTAAAAAGTTTAAGACATAAAGATTTTGAATAATTTTTTTTTTTTTTTTTTTTTGCTGCAAAGTTCACAAATAGGACCAGTATATCCAGGACCATTATTCCATAGCATTCTGAGCAAAATAAAGTCCTTTTTTTTAAATTCCATGTTCATATTTGAATTTCTTGATGGAAGCCTCCAATCAAAACTATCTAACTTTTTTTGATAGTTTTGATTGGAGATATAGATAGATTTTTTCCATTGTTTATTCTGACCTTGTATACAACTCTGAGTGTGACTATCACATAATGTGTGTGTGATTTTTGTAGAAATCTAGTTAAGTTTCCCAAGTGTGTGGATATGTAATAACAAAATTAATCTAAAAAAGTTTAAAAGTTAGACATTTTAATTATTATTAAAAAAAAAAAATTAAAAACAAAATCTCACAGAAACTTATTGAATCATAGCAAATCAAAAATTTATTGAATTGTAGAAAACCAAAAAAAAGAAAAAGGGTCAATGTTTTTAATAGGAAGAGAACTTTTACTTGTGTCAAGCAAAAAAATAAATTTGTGCTCAAGTAGAAATAATTCAAATAAGTCATTTACATTTTAGGCTCTATTTATCTCCAAATATTTTGATACTTTAAACCATTCTTCAGAACTCAAAATAGCAAACAAAGTGCTTGGCTTTGTAACTACTGATTTTTATTTTTGTATCTATTAATAATAAAAAGATAAAAGTGATATTGTTGTTTTAAAGTTCATGTTTTTACTTTTAGATAAGTTAGATATATTGTTTTCTGTATGTTTTTTATTTTATAAAAAATACTTTTTGAATATTTTTAGAAAAATCCCAAGTTCGTCAAGAAAGCCCCATTTATACCACCACCTGGAAAAACAAGCCCATCAAAATCATTGGCATGGGAGGTTGTTTATGTTTTATCTGTTCTTTTATTATAGACTGTAATTATTTTAAATTTGATCTCTAGTATCAAAGATTGAACTAAAAAACTTAAATTATTTCAGTTTTGGAAATAAGTTAGCATGATAATATCTTGGTATTAATCTGTTTTAGAGTAGTTCACACCGTTTAGAAATTGTTCCACCCCTTTCAAAAAACAAATCACACACAATGGTAATCAACGATTTATCTCATTCTGAGGTAATATTTTTTAGTTTTTTATTT